GGATCAGACCAATGGCCCATCTAGTCCAGCATCCTGTCTCACACAGTGGCCAGCCGGTTCCCCTGGATGGCTAACAACAGGGCAGAGAGGCTAAGGCCTTCCCTGAGAAGAACATAAGAAGAGCCCTGCTGGGTTAGACCACTGGTCCCTCTAGTCCAGCATCCCATCTCACACGGTGGTCAACTAGTTCCACTGGAGGGCCTACAACAGGGCAGAGAAGCCAAGGCCTTCATAAAAACATCAGAAGAGCCCTGCAGGATTAGACCAGTGGTCCATCTAGTCCAGCATCCTGTCTCACACAGAGGCCAGCCAGTTCCTCTGGAGGGCCAACAACAGGGCATAGATGCCAAGGCCTTCCCTTATAAGAACATAAGAGGAGCCCTGCTGGATCAGACCAGTGGTCCCTGTAGCCCAGCATCCTGTCTCACACAGCGGACAACCAGTTCCTCTGGAGGGCCAGCAACAGGGCACAGAGGCTGAGGCCTTCCCCTGCCGTTGCCTCCTGGCTCTGGGGTTCAGAGGTTCAGTGCCTCTGAATGTGAAAGTTCCCCTCAGTCGCCATGGCTAGTAAGCACTGACAGACTTTTCCTCCATGAATCTATCTAATCCCCTTTTATCCTTTTCCTAAGAATCCCTAACATGGTGTTTGCCTTTCTCACCACTTTCACGGAGCTATCCGCTATGACCCCAAGATCTTTTTCCCTCTCAGTCACAGCAAGTTAGCCTATGCTCGAAGTTGGGATTTTTTTGCCCCAGTGTGCATCCCCTTACACTTACCAACATTGAACTTCCTTTGCCACATCGTCACCCACTCACCCAGTTTGTGGGGGTCCTCTCGGAGCACTTCACAGTCAGCCTTGGTTGTCACCAGTATTCCCTCTAAACTGAGTTAGTGTGAGCTAGCTCACAGTTTTTTAGCCTTCAGCTCACACATTTTTGTCTTAGCTCAGGAAGGAAGGCTCTGGAGCAAACTAATTTATCCAGTATCCAAATCGCTGGCTCACAACTTTAATGCCAGTGGCTCACAAAGTAGAATTTTTGCTCACAAGGCTCCACAGCTTAGAGGGAGCATCGGTTGTCACCATCCCAAAGAATTTCGTGTCATCTGCAACCTTGTCCACTACACTACCCACCCCTGGTTCCAGATCATTTATGGAAAAAAATTAAGTAGTACTGGCCCCAATACCGATCCTCGTGGGACCCCACTGTTGACTTCCCTCCATTGTGAGAACTACCCATCCATTCCCACTCTTTGCTTCCTGTCATTGAACCAGTTTTTGATCCAAAAAAGAACCCGTCCTCTTATCCCATAACTACTACGTTTACTCCGGAGACTTTGGTGAGGTACCTTGTCAAAAGCCCTTTGAAAGTCCAGGTATATAATGTCTACTGGGTCACTCTGCAATACTCTATAAATGCCAGATGGTATTCTCTCAGTTATCTTTGCCGCCTCCCTGGCAAAGGAGGCTAGTGTTAAAACTGCTTCAGCTGTCTTGCATTGGGAGGATTTTTCATGACTTCAAGCATTTCTGTATAAATAGACTTTCAGGATTGAAATCAAAGCGTAAGGCAAAAAGACAAAAAGGCCTCGCACCCAGCCCCTACCAATGCTCCCTCTATACTGTGGAGTCTCGTGAGCAAAAATTCTACTTTGTGAGCTACTGGCATTAAAGTTGTGAGCAAGTGATTTGGCTGCTGCATAAATTCATTTGCTCTGGAGCCATGTTTCCTGAGCTAACTAGAGATGTGAAGGCCCGGAAAAATCCGGAAAAATTCGGGAAAAAAACATTTTTTTTCCTGAAGCCTTTTTGTTTTTTTCCGAAAAATTGGAAAAATTGATTATGGAACGTTTTATTTTAACATGATGAATACAATATTTTAAGACCAGGTGTTCAAATATTTTCCAAATCATTTCTAAAATATATATATATGGTATCAGATTGATGTAATTTCTGTGCACTGAGGACAAGCAAGTCCTAGGTTACAAACTGAACTCTCCAATGCAAGAACAAGATGCATTTCTTCCTTTAGGAGGTGCGATTGTCAGAAGAAAATAAAAAAGTTTCAGTTTTGTTTTTGCATGTGGGTGGGTATTCTGTAATAATTGTTTGGATACACTATATTTTTAATATGCTAGTTGTGATAATTTCATGCCAAGTAAAAATGTCCATAGTCATATTTTATGTTCCTAAAGTAACAGAATGACTTTCAAACTAGAAAAGACAAAAGAAATGCTAATGTAGCATTTTTTTCAATTTTTCCAAAAAATTCCATTTTTTTCTGGGGGGGAAACGGAAAAAAAACGGGTTTTTTTCCGAGCTTCAAAATTTCCAGAAATTTTACATCTCTAGAGCTAACACAAAAAATGTATGAGCCGGAGGCTAAAAAACTGTGAGCTAGCTCACACTAACTCAGCTTAGAAGGAACAATGCCCCCCCCCCCCGGGGACCGCATATCCTAGAAGCCAAACTGGGATGACATTATCTGCTGCTGAGGCACGACGGCGTTTTAATGCTGATGTTTTACTGAAATAAGGATGATTTTATGGATTTTAAATTGATTACTGTAATATGTTTTTAATATTGTAAATCTGCATTAATTGCAGGCACATATATGTTGTTCCCCACCCTAAGCCTACAATATGGGGAGGGTGGGCTATAAGTCTAATTAAATAAATAAAAACAAAATAAAATGTAGAGCTCAGCAGTTTAGTCATTCAACAATTAAAGACGAGAGGACACGAGAACTACTTTCATTAAAATTTAGACAGAATCTGGCATTAGTTTGCAAGAAACAGAGTTGTTAAAAACCTATGTATTACAGAAAACAAGGGTCAAACAGTAAATCTGGGCATCTCTTTCCGGAACATATTGCAGTGGCAAAGGATTATTATTAACTGGGCAATTCAAACGACAACCCAGGAAGGTAGGCCACTTACAGGGGTTACTCCCTTCACAACTTCAATGGACTTAGAAGAGGTAACTCTGTTTAGGATTTATTTACTGCCTTCATTTATACTCTGTCTTTCTCACAAAGATTCAAGAAGGATTACAAAATGTAAAAAAAAAAAAATCAGAAATCCAGTCAACAATTCAGCAAGGCTAGGATGACATAATTAGGAAACAATGCGTACGAAAAACTAAGGCACTATTATCATCTTACAGACAGGAAGTGCAGGCAGAGAAACTGAGGCTTTCCACGGCCACAGAGTAAGCTTCTAACTTATTCACTTTATATCCCCCTTTTCACTCCAATGGGAGACCCAAAGCAGCTTATTTGCCCCCCTCTCCTCCATTGTATCCTCACAACAACCACCATCTTGTGAGGTAGTGAAAAAGATTTTGACCTCTACTCCACAGCAAAAACAGAATAATTTCACATAAGGCTACGTACATTTTGCCTCCTTTTAGGGATTTTTCTGCCCTGAAGGGCTGTTTTGGGGGCCCCAACATGGGAACGGTTGGGCCAGTAGCAACATCCTTTGTAACCGGTGTGGTGTCGTGGTTAGTGTCAGACTGGGAGACACAGGTTCGAATCCTCACTCTGCCATGGAAACTTGCTGGGTGACCTTGGGCCAGTCACACACTCTCTCAGCCTAACCTACCTCACAGCTTTGTAGATATGAAAAAAAAACAGAGGAGAAGAGAATGATGTGAGCTGCTCTTATTCCCCATTGCGGAGGGAGGGTATAAACGAAGTAACTAAACAAGTAGATAAATTAGCCCTTGAATAGATCTCTCCTTCTTTAATCCACCTGATCTCATATATATAACTCTCTTCCAAAGCCATCTAACCAATAACCAGGGAAATGTGTGTGCGTACCTCCTCTTAAGAAGGAGCAATAATAAACAGTGGGTATTAATTCATTTCAGTTACTTGCATTTTATGCTTATCCATCAAACACATCCAAAAAAACAATGCACGCTGGGATAAATTCAAAACACTAAAAACAACAGCCAGCAATAAACTAATAAAATAGCAGTCCTTTTACGTTTTAATAATGAAAAAATATATACACATGACTCATTAGTAACAGTAAACGTGGCTGGCGACCTTCCCTAATCAAAAAGAAGAAAACATCTGGGGCTTTGAGATGTATTGTGGGGGGGGGGGGGGGAGAGAGCTAACATGTTTGTAGACGTGAGAGCGGGGTGATAAAACAATTATTGCAACTAACCAGCAGGATGCCCTGACACAAGAGGCAATGGCTCAGCTACAAAACAGAGAAGCGCTGGCAGATTTGGGGCCCTACGGTTAGCTGTTGCCCAACTGCCTCTGTAGAACCTCCCTGTTCAGGAGCAGTCTACCCCACCAGCCCCATTTCTTGGGGAGTTGAAAGCTGTCGGTCCTTTTAAGTAAGGTTACTACATTATGAGAAGCGAAAAAGACGACACATCCCCCCCACCCCTCTTTCCAGCAAGTGATCCCCAGGACTAGTCTCATTTCAAATAATAGAAGAAGAATAAGAGATTGGATTTATACCCCGCCCTTCACTACCCAAAGGTGTCTCAGAGCGGCTTACAAACTCCTTTCCCTTCCCCTCCCCACAACAGACACCCTGTGAGGTGGATGGGGCTGAGAGAGCTCTGACACAAACTGCTCTTTTTCAAGGACAGCTGTGCCAGAGCTTGTGACTGACCCAAGGTCACACCAGCAGGTGCAAGTGGAGGAGTAGGGAATCAAACCCCGTTCTCCCAGATCAGAGTCCGCACACTTAACCACTACACCAAACTGGCTCTAATACCCCAACTATTGAAGCTGTGATCGTCGCTGCTAGCTAGGACCATGCCTAGCCTTCCAACCCCAAAAGAGGGCATTTGCATGAGGTTTTTAAAGGGGACAGGCACCAAAAAGAGAGAGGCCACGTCCTCTAAAGAAGAGGGCATCTGCCAGCCAGCCAGCCCTCCCTTTCTCCCTCCAGTTCTTGCAACCGCTGGGCCCTTCCAGGAGGAGGGAGGGAGCATGCACGATCAAGCTGGTTTGCTGCTGTCGCTACTCACCCGGGGGTCTGCTCCAGGGGGGCGGCTGCTTCCTCCTCCGCCCTCCCCGCTTCCCTCCCCTTGAGAAACACCATCTCTAGGGCGGCAGCCCCGGCCTGGCCGGGCCCAAACAGGGAAGCCAAGCACTTCCCCCCCAGCCGCCCCGCCCCAGGAAGTGACGTCAGAGGTGGGGAGGTGAAGCCAGGAGGGCGGGGCTCCTTGCCCGCCTGCCCTTCCCCTTCCCAAGGCTGGGGCTTTGCAGAGGGGAGCGGTGCCCGGTGTTGGGTGGGCACCAGTGCTCCCTCTAAGCTGTGGAGTCCTGTGGGCAAAAAAATCTACTTTGTGAGCTCCTGGCATTCAAGTGGTGAGCGAGCGGTTTGGCTGCTGCGTACATTCCTTTGCTCTGGAGCAACACCCCATCTAAGCTGTGGAGCTTTGTGAACAAAAATTCTACTTTATAAGCTACCACTGGCATTAAAGTTGTTAGCAGCGATTTAGGAATTGCATAAATTAGTTTGCTCTGGAGCCCTCCTTCCTGAGCCAAGACGAAAATGTGTGAGCCGGAGGCTAAAAAACGGTGAGCTGGCTCACACTAACCCAGCTTAGAGGGAACACTGCTCTGGAGCCCTCCTTCCTGAGCCAAGACAAAAATGTGTTTGCTGAAGGCTAAAAAACTGTGAGCTGGCTCACAATAACCCAGCTTAGAGGGAACTCTACTCTGGAGCCCTCCTTCCTAAGCCAAGACGAAAATGTGTGAGCTGGAGGCTAAAGAACTGTGAGCTGGCTCACACTAACCCAGCTTAGAGGGAACACTGCTCTGGAGCCCTCCTTCCTGAGCCAAGACGAAAATGTGTGAGCCGGAGGCTAAAAAACTGTGAGCTAGCTCACACTAACCCAGCTTAGAGGGAACACTGCCTGGAGCCCTCCTTCCTGAGCCAAGACAAAAATGTGTGAGCCGGAGGCTAAAAAACTGTGAGCTGGCTCACACTAACCCAGCTTAGAGGGAACACTGCATGGAAGTTTGCACAGCAAGAGAAAGAACTGGGGATCGTGGGGAGTTATACGGTGTTTGTGTCTGCGGTGGTTCCTCTGCATTAAATAAATAAAATTCGGCAACTCACCAGGCAGGCTTGCCCTCCCCTGTCAAGAGCGCCTGATTTGCATAATATCCTCCCAGAATGCAATGGGGTGGTGAACACCAAGCGGCTATTTCACATATTATTGTTTCCTAATGAAAACGTTTAAATACTAGAAGGTAAAAAGGAATCGAAATGGACCATTGCCGAGCACATAAAACTAGCTTGGTAAAATACAAAAGGGAAGCCTATATACTGTAGTCACACTAACCTGGAAATATTTCTAATAGGAGGCTTGAAATAGTTCTGGACTCAACTTTGCATCTGTGCTCGCTTCGGCAGCACATATACTAAAATTGGAACGATACAGAGAAGATTAGCATGGCCCCTGCGCAAGGATGACACGCAAATTCGTGAAGCGTTCCATATTTTGCCACGCCAACAAGAAAAAGTTGTATGGTTCCTTCCTTTTAAAAATGCTTTCCCTTTGCCCACTTATCAGCGTTTCTCCTCCCCATTTCCACTTTCTCTCCACTTTTATTTACAAGCAGGGTGGCCCTCATTCATCCTTTAAATTTCACTATGTAAGAATCCAGATTCTTCTTATTAGCATTGCCTTAAGGAGTGCAAGCCTTCCTCCGCCTTTTCTCACACTTCAGTCAAAATGCTCTCTGGCTTCCTCCCAGACTAAGGGGACATTTCGAAAGCGGAGGGCACGACCTCCTCATCTTTTAAACAGCTTCTTGCCAAAACAAGAATATGCTTGGTTTTATTTCACATGAGTATCTATCTATCATCTATCTATCATCACCTATATAGAAATAATTTTTATTTTGGAGCATGTTGGATACTTATTTGTGCATGACAGCTGATTTATGGCGACCCAGTACGGTTTCCAAGGCAAGAGACTTTCAAGGTTTGCCATTTCCTGCCTCTGCGTACCGACCATGGACTTCCTCGGTGGTCTCCCATCCAAATACAGACCAAGGGTGGCTACGTCAGGAATTGCAAAAACTATATTTTGTGCATGTGAAATAATATAACTTGAATAATCACAGCTGTGGTTTCCTTCCCCGCAAACTGCATATTGAACACCTTAGCGTGGCAAAATATGGAACGCTTCACGAATTTGCGTGTCATCCTTGCGCAGGGGCCATGCTAATCTTCTCTGTATCGTTCCAATTTTAGTATATGTGCTGCCGAAGCGAGCACAAATCTATCTGATGCACTATTGGTATTTAAAGCACCATCGACGTGGAATTTTAACATTACGGTGAGATGCAAAATTACCTAATCATTCATTTCAGTTATCCTTTTGATTATTATTTCTCTTGTTAATCTACCTCTCGTTTGTAAATTTAAAAAAATCGAAATTTACATCTTTATTAAGCACTTTCTTTCTCCCTCTTATGTGCCCCGATGCACCATGGGAGGCCTCGTAAACAAACGACCCGCTTCCAAGTCTTCTCGAGGAAGTGATCTCTGTTAAGCAGACAGAGGAGGTCCTTTAGAGCCAAGAGGCTTGTCTATTAAGTTGCCTGACTAAAAATCCTGAAGAAACAACACTAAGGATTTTCATGACAAAAGGGATGCTTTGTGCAGAGGCAAACAGCTGCGAGGGTTGAATTTTTTTATGTAGCGAAGATAAATCAGGCGTGCAGTTAGTCAGCACCAGATGAAGAGGGCTCCTACCCAGCTGGCAAGAGGTGGCGCAGGCGCAGAGGAGCGGGATCTCCTGGATGGACGCTGGGTAAGTAGGGGGGAGGAATGGAAGAGAATATTTGATTCCGGGGGGGATCTTTCCCTGATGGGCAGTTCGCTAAGCATCAACCATTTCCAGGAGCGGGGGGGGGGGAGCATTATGTTTGCAAGACGGTCACGTTGCAAATACTGTTCCCTCTAAACTGAGTGAGTGTGAGCTAGCTCACAGTTTTTTAGCTTCTGGCTCACACATTTTTTGCCTCCGCTCAGGAAGGGTGGCTCCACAGCAAACTGATTGATGCAGCAGCCAAATTGCATGCTCTCAACTTTAATGCCAGTAGCTCACAAAGTAGGATTTTTGCTCACAAGACTCCACTGCTTAGAGGGAGCATAACTTGCAAATGTCTGCAGAAATATGGCTGGAGAGAAAATTGTGGGAGCTGGACACAAGAACATCAGAAGAGCCCTGCTGGGTGAGGATCGGGCCAGAGGTCCCTCTAGTCCAGCATCCTGCCTCACACAGTGGCCAACTGGTTGCCCTGGAGAGCCAAACTGACAGGACAGAGAGGCCGAGGCCTTCATAAGAACATCAGAAGAGCCCTGCTGGATCAGACCAGTGGTTCATCTAGTCCAGCATCCTGTCTCAGACTAGCCAACCAGTTCCTCTGGAGGGCCAACAACAGGTCAGAGAGGCCGAGGCCTTCATAAGAACATCAGAAGAGCCCTGCTGGATGAGGATCAGGCCAGTGGTCCCTCTAGTCCAGCATCCTGCCTCACACAGTGGCCAGCCAGTTCCTCTGGAGGGCCAACAACAGGGCAGAGAGGCCCCTGATAAGAACATCAGAAGAGCCCTGCTGGATCAGACCAGTGAGGGTCCCTCTAGTCCAGCATCCTGTCTCACACAGTAAACAACTAGTTACCCCCAGATGTAGGGTTGCCAACCCCCAGGTGGTGACTGGGGATCTGTTCCTCTGTTGAAAATGGCTGCTTTGGAAGGTGGACGATATGGCATGCTGTCTCTCTTATGTTCTTATCTTCTTACCTGCTGGCCACCCGTCTGCCAGCAACTGGCCCATATCCATCAGTATGAAGGGGTCGGAATTTGCACCAGCAGCTATAACTACTGATTTTAAATGGTTATAATGTAAATGTTTTATTGTGTTTTAAACCTTACTGTATTGTTGGAGATGATGTGACCTGCCCTGAGCCCGCTCGCGGGGTGGGCGGGACACAAATACAAAAAAATAAATTAAAAAAAAATTAGAGCAAGGGAGAAATGCTTAGGGGCAAAAATATTAGCACCTGGAATGAAAGAAGAATCCTATGTCAAGTTGACGATATTCTGGACTGTATCTTTTAGCGTTGCCTCCCCAGTTCCCTCTCGACCACTGCCTTCCCACTTCAGACTGGGACATAAAGATGCAGGGGTCACCGTTCCGGCTTGTACCTGAGGAAGGGAGCTTTGACTCTCAAAAGCTAACCCCGCAAAAAAATCTTGTTGGTTTCTAAGGCGCCCCTGGACTCGAACCTGGCTCTGTAGCTGAAAACTATCAGAGCTCCTCTCTGAAACTGTCTCCCCTGGGGAAAGGGAAGGGCACCAGACTCCCCCCAGGACTTTGGGGTGCCCAGGAGAGCCGTGGGGGGGGACCTTTGGGGACCAGGAGTGGATAGTAAGAAGGGGGGGGAAGAGGAATACCCTCTGCTGAATACCCTTGTTGAGACACTTCCCCAACCAGCTCCCTCCCCAGGATCCATCCTCCAAATCTAGGTATTTCCCAGCCTAGAGCTGGCAGTCATATGGCCAACAACCCCACATTTCGTGCCCCACGTTTTCCACAGTGAAAAGCGATGTAAAGAATTTGTTTCATTTCTCTGCCGTCTTCCTTAAACAATCCTTTTATTCCTTTGTTACCCAAAGACTTAACCGCCTCCCTAGCCAGTGTAAAGGGAGAAACAACTGATAGGGAACTATTGGGAACCCATCACCAGTATTCAGTAACAAGATTATTAGAGATTGCTTTTAGGAGATGACACACACAAAAGGGTGAACTCTGCCATAAAAAGGTTCATTGACAGGCTAAAAGCAGAAAGCCGGGTTCTATAGATCAGAAGATAGATATCTGCCAGGCCAGACTCTGATAAAAGCAGAAAGCAGGATGCTATAAATTAGAAAATTAAACATCTGCTATGTCACAAGAAGAAGAGAAAGGAGATAACATCTCGGTCATGCTTGGTAACAAAGCATCTAGCTTTTACTGCAACATATAATCATATTATATTATGCGGTGGCTCAAGTGGTTAAGACGCTGAACTGCAGGCTGTGGAAGGTCAGTAGTTTTTGGCAAAGAACATATGTACACATATGGAATTAGCACAACAGGAAAGGGGAGGGAGAGGGATGTAATTTAATTAAAACAAACAGGTGGGAGAACCTGAGAAAGGCGGTGCGAGTTAGACTGTAAGTCTGGGAGCCACTTAGGTGACAGACAGGGACTTTTTGCAATCAGGATAGGGCATTAAGGCTTGCATATGTTAATGATGCTATTGTTTAAAAACTGTAACCACAGAATCTTCGAACTCCTTACCTGGGTCTTTTGACTAAGGTTGAGCTTCCCTGTTGCGCAACAGAGAGTAAAAGATTTTTTTTAAAAAAACATCTCCACTCTTGACTTTGCCTGATTTGTTTGTGGGGGACAGCTTTTGTCCCTAACACCAGTTTCCTGCTATATTTGAAGAAATGTTCATTTCTTTGCCATAATGTTTCTAGAAATCCAAATTCCGTTTTTGCCCAATTTATCGTCAATTTACATTTGTTTTGTCAGAACATGCATTCCTTTCTGTTCACCTCATGTGACTGAGCCTTCCGCTTGGTGATGTCCTTGACTTGTGTCCTTCACCATGCTGGTATCATTTTAGACTCGGTGGTACCTTTCCTGAGTCTGACCTGAGGGATGTATCCTCTGTTGGCCTCTGTTTGTATGTTTTTCAATAGTTTCAAGCAGGGCTTTTTTTGGTAGAAAAAGCCCAACAGGAACTCATTAGCATAATAGGCCACACCCAACAGCAGAAATTCATTAGCATATCAGGCCACACCCCTGACAGCACAGCTCATTAGCATATTAGGCCACACTTCATGCCTTCCCTTGGGGAGCCTGGGCAAGCCGGCCCTTAAATAGGCTGAGGAAGGCACAGGGAGGCATTTAAATGCCTCCCCGATCCTTCCAGGGGCCCTCCTGGCCCACCCGCCTCCAGGCCTTCCCTCTGTAGCCAGGCACACAGAGGTTTTGGCTGTAGTGGGCGTGGCCAACTCTGAAGCCAGCCAGAACTCCGTTGCTGTGCGTTCCTGCCCCGAAATAGCCCTGGTTTCAAGCATCTCGGATGCAGTGGGCTCTCTCAAGTCTCCCTTTCGTTCTCCATTAGGGTCTGCTAACCGCAAATAACCTCTTTGTTTCCATTTTAACAGACACGAGGGTCTCCCAAGAAGAGTTTTTCCTCCGCAAAGCCTCAGGACGCAAAGATGGACTTGGCGTACATCTGCGAATGGGAGAAGCGTCCCAAGAGCAACCACTGCCCCTCCATCCCGCTGGTCTGCGCCTGGTCTTGCCGCAACCTCATCGCTTTTACCACGGACCTCAAAAACGAGGAGGAAAAAGGTCTCCCCAGCCCCACCCATCCCCGCCTGCCCTGGGTCGCTTTGCATCAGGGGTCCCCCAGATTTTGAGCCTGCTGGTGTTACACAAATAGATTTCCAGTCAAAAAGAGAAGTCAAAATGAGGAGGAATGTTCATTGATTATTTTAATTGCAATTAAAACACCTGAAAACAGTTAGGCCAAACTTAGCCTATCAAAAATCGACTGCTTTCTGCCCACAATCAGGAAATGCTTGAAGTTTTATACCTGGAGTGACATAATCAAAAAGATAACATTCAGAGATCACAATTGGTTACAAAGGACAGTGCATCATTTGAGTAATAGTCCACTCATTGGTCAAATATGAAGAAAGGTGTGCCTACATAATATCTTAAACGTTTACTTAACCTAACCTGAATAATATTGGCCAAGGATTCCTCATACCCAAACAAGGTGTGTTTTTTTTCTGATACGAAGCTAAAATCCCTTTTGACCCAGACGCGGCCATGTTTTACCCTAAACAACTAAAAAAACTCCATGAACTCTATACCTGCCTTCTATACCAGAAGAATGTTGTTTTCTTGTCTGCTAGCATCAGCTAGAAAGATACTCTAACCTACAAGGGAAAGGCCTACTATTTAATAGATAGTAAAACAGTAAATCACCGTGTAGAATTAAACAATATTTGTTGGTTTTTATATGCAATGTTTAGAATTAAATTATTGACAAAATTACAACAATAACACTACAATATGCGATATAAAGCTTAGCAGTACATACAGAGTAATACAGTACTAGTTACAGACAAACGACGGAGTTCTAGTACACTCTCCGTTTGCGTGTCCTTCTTCAGGTTTGTCATTCTGTAATTATTTCTTCATTAGAATGAAGTGCTGCAAGCCATATTTCAAAATGCTAATTCTTATA